GTGTCAGGGTTGATTTATGGACTGTCTGGTCCCTGAAGAACCAAGGCAGGAGCTGTATCCTTGTTCTTGGCACTTGTTCTCTGTGCAGTTTGGACTCCTCTAGGGCAGTCCCTGGTCTCTCCTGTTTGTGGTTTTCCTGGAGAGGAGGGGGTCTGCTTTGGGAACTCTAGACGATGTGGTTTTGTTGGGTCTTAGTCTCTGGACATCTTTTTCTCTGAGTGGACATTCTGTGCCTGTGGATATAATTTACYAATACAAATACCTGTTTTTTTCTGGGTCACATGTCTGTCTCCATCAGTCCATCGTCCCTGTGTGAGAGGCAGGGGTCATCTGTACAGGTCTTCGGTCCATCACAGAGACACATAAAAAAAATGAGACAAGCGTTACCAGTTTACCTAACCAGCATGTTATTGATCTGAGGAAGAAAACCCACATGTGCACAGGGAGAACATATAGGAGGAACCTGTGACCTTTTCACTCAGAAATGACAGCTCAAACAAATGCACCACCTTTGTTTTGTTATTCCATCATAAATCTTGTAACTTTGAGCTATTTGTGTCATTTACTGAAATTGTAAAGTTAACGAAAACTAAAAAAAAAAACCTCTGAAGACATAATTCAGGTCCAAAAGAATTAAAGGCTAAACAGGAAGTGAGTTAAGCCTGGAGTTTACAGTTTTTCTCAGTTGCTAAAACACTAAACCCTGTTGTTTGAACCAAATTCTCAGTTCCCTGAACACATTTATTACAGTTTTTAATTGATTGCTTTGACCTGTTTGAAGGAACTGGGAACCTCTCAGTCTTCATCATCACCATCTCAGCAGAGCAGAAGACACCACTTGCAATGTGTTAACTCATTCTCARGATTGACATAGTTTTTCCACCCTTTTGGAAAACAGTTAACGCAGATGTCATTCAAGAAGTCCAAACTCCCGTTCAGCTGTCAGTTTGAAACACCGAAAGCACCTGTTTGACACGTCTTCACAGCATTTTTCAATTTTCAATCAGTCTGCAGGCCTGTTGTTCTTTGCAAGCATGGATCGAGGAGGTCTAACGCGATGAGAGGTAGAGTGAGAGTAAGAGGTAGAGGGGTCAGAGGAAAAGGACTCTGTGTGTCAGGTGGAAGTATAGCTGCAAGGGCTCAGGTTACAGCTGAAAAGCAGGCAACTGTGATTGATCATATGGTAATCATGGACTTTCCCTTAGAGAGGCTGGACAAAGAGTCCAACTTGTTCTAAACAGAAACACTGTTGCATCCATTATTAGAGTTTTTCAACAGGAGAACAGGTAATGTTGCTATACAGTATATACAGAAATATTTGCAGTAATATACAGTACTTCATGTAATTTTTTTCCACATTTCATGTATTCTCTGTTGGAATATTTCATTTGTCAGGCACAGTCTGAAAAAAAATGTAATCAATAAAATTAGCATCAAACCATATCTG